AAAATAAAAAAATACAAACTTACAACTATATTAAGTATATAGCTTAAATCTTAAAGAGTAAATAAAAGTGATTCTTTTCTACTCATCCGGTTAAGTAAATATTTTCAAACTAAATAAATATTAAGAACGCACTCTTATGATTTCTGAGTTAAAGACATCCACCAGAGGCAAATGCCTGCAATTATGATGGTATTTTTTTGACTAAAAATACAATGCAAATTTTACAATATATATATATATATAGTACTAAACAGATAGATGAATACTGCATTTCATATAAAATAAATGAATCAATAAAAAATTACCCAATGTCATTTTGTTTATTAGTATTGTAAATAACATTGTAAAAAATAATGCCAATAATCCAAATAATTTAACAATAATTTTTCAATAAAAATAAGGCAAAACATGCAGATTAGCCCCTCAGGTCGTTGAGTGGTGGCAAATCAACCATTTTGTGTAACATGACGTCATTATTTCGTTTAAACTTAACAATCCGCTCATCACGACCTACTTTGTGTCTGACTTGGACTTTTTTAGTTGAGATAGATGCTTTGTTGGAAGCAATGCTGGACTCTTTTGGCACCAAAGCTTATTCTTGGCAAGAAAATATAACAGATGGTTTTGAAATCCCTACGGTGTGAGAAATTGGGGATTTTTTTGGGTTAACAAAAGGAACACAAGTCCTTTTACAACACAAAACTATAAACATATAGAGGAAGTACATACAGAGTTTGAAGATCCTCTGACCAAATATGAAAGAATCTCAAAATCATAGCTTTTGAAGGTAGTTGATGTGGATGTTGAAGCATTGATCTTGGGGTTACTTTGGCAATCTCAAAATTTTTGCATGGTAAGTGTCACTTTCTGGAATATTTACATGCATGTGCTTTGAAAAAGTGAACAATTCCTTTTTGTCATTGATCCACGGTTAAACAATTTGAAAGTGTATTTTTTTTTTTTGACATTTTCAATGCCATATTTACTTTGTGGTCCCATGCTTCTTGTTTATTTTCAAATATAAAATGTCCAATAGCTCCACATGCTTATTAAATTATATGTTCCGTTTGTTTGCTTCTTTTTTTTTTTTTCTTCATTTGTCTTTACATGTTTGAAATTTTTTTTTGCTTAAAGCAATGACTGAATGTAGTAGAGTAATGACCATTTTCCATGGGGGAACTTTTGAGCCTAGCCCACCCATTGATTATGTTGATTGTAAGTTTCCTTTATTTGATGTGCATGAAGAAAAAGTTTTTATGGTAGGAATAATCAATATGGTGCGTGGGTTAAGATATGAAAATATTTATGCCAATTCCATGTATTACAAGTCCCCTCTTGTTAAATTAGATGAACTGAAGTCACTTATCCATCTGGATTGCATTGATAGCATTATTAGGGTGTGTTTGGGATTACTGTAAGGTACTGTGACTATAGCTCTAGTTGTGGCTATACTGAACTGAACTGTACTGTACTATTGCTATAACTGAAAGTTATATTAGTATTTAACTATTTATTTTTAAAAAATATTGTTTTAAGTTTTTTTATAATGGGTGTTTTTTTGAATTTTGTAGGAGAGTAATTCATAAGGAGGGAATAAGTTTTAATATTTTTTATAAAATCTTCAAATAAACAAGAGGTTAAGTTTAAATAGAATATTATAGATTATGATATAATTGAATTAAACAAGATTTGGTTTTAATGGATAATTTTGTTATTGTATTAAATATTAAGTATTGTTTGTGAAAGTCATAGCCAAAAAGCTCCAAAATAAGGTTTTTGGGTTTGTATATAAAATTGTTGTAGATTTGCTGTGGTTTTCTGCAACCTTTAAAAAAATTAACCTAAAAAAATTACCAAACACATTTATCTAAAACCACTGTACAGCTACACGAAAAAACTTCCAATCGCAATTCCAAATGCACCCTCAATATCATATGGAAACCTTGTGAAGGGGAGGTATATATCGACCATGACAATGGGGTCCACATTTTGTTGATAAGTTGGTTGGTGATGTACAGAGGTTTTGTAAGGGTATTAATGAGAAAATAAATGAAGATCTAGGGATCATTACCCAAGAGGCAAATGAATTTGCTAAAAACACCATTTTGATTTTGCAACTCATGCCTCTATTGATGAAGAAAAAGAAAATGACTCAGTTGGAAGATGATTTTTCTAGCCTTGTTGGAATTGATAGAGACGATGAAGAATGTATTGTTGTTTTAAATAAAACTAAATCATTATTCATAAGTAAAGGGATTGTAAATCTAGTTGAGCATACAGGTGAAAAGCAAATTGTTATTGAGAAACATGGAGGTTAGAAGCGACAAGTATATGATGGAGCAACTTCTAATCCTTCTACAGAAGCAGCAACTTCTAAAGTAGATAAGGAAAGGCGAGGAGGAAAAGAGCAGTTGCTCTTAGTAAAAGGAACAAGACACTTAACATTGCTAAAGTTGCTATTAAAGGTCAAGCTACCTCTACTTTCACTGACCATGTGTTACAATCTCAATTGCCTATTGACAATCATCAATATTCTGATGGGGAAGATAAAGACAATGAAGGGAGAAACAACGATGATCCAGGTTGCTTGTACTCAAGTCCTTCTTCTAAAGAGGAAAATGAATTTTATGTGGCAATTGACTTACCT